CAGCCACTCGGAAGGCTGAGGCGGAAGGATCGCCGGAGCCCAGCAGGTCAAGGCTGCGGTGGCCGGGAGCAGCCACTGCACTCCAGTCTGGGTGACAGAGTGAGACTCCAACTCAAAAAAAAGAAAAAGAAAGTTATATATGCTCCAATACTTAGCATCTACTAGGAGCTCAGTAAAGTGTTGACTGACTGGATTTGCTCACTGTGGAAAAATAACAATATGGAGTTCTGTAGATAATCTTTTACAGAAGAATACAAAGTAAAAGGTGGGTACAGTGGCTCACCCCTGTAAATCCAGCAGTTTGGGAGGCCGAGGCAGGAGGATTGCTTGAGCCCAAGACTTCAAGACCAGCCGTGACCACACAGCAAGACCTCATCTCTACAAAAAAAAATTTTTTTTAAAGAAGAGTATGAAATAAAGCCACTGCCCCCCAAGCCCATGGTGTAAGCCGTTCATTGTCAATTATGTGGCCTGTCGCTCCCCACATGTGGCCTCCTGTGTGGCTCCAAATTGGTGTCAGACGGGCTGGGTGGCTCAGCCTGTCATCCCGTGCTTTGGGAGGCCGAGGTGAGTGGATTGCCTGAGCCCGCGGGTTCGAGACCCGCCCGGGCAACTTGGTGAGACCTCATCTCGACAATAAATCAAAAAAATTAGCCGGGTGTGGTAGTGTACAACTGTAGTTCCAGCTACTTGGCAGGCTGAGGCGGAAGGATCTCCGGAGCCCAGCAGGTTGAGGCTGCGGTGGCCGGTGACTCCAACTCAAAAACAAACAAACAAACAAATTGGTGCCCAGGTCCACATCCTCGTTTTTGGCCTCCGCACAGCTCTCCCCGTCCCTCTGCTTCCGCCAGATCCTGGCCCTGGGTCCACACTCTGGTCCCGCCAGTGAGCTGGCCTCGCCTGTTAGAGGATCACGAAGTCCCGCTTCCCATGATTTGGAGGGGGCCAAGGAGGGAGTCTGTCCTGCCTGCTACCCCACCCTGTCACCTAGAGTCCTTCCTGAACACCTTGGTATGAATTCAGTTACTGAATCTTTCTCCTGTGACTAGGGGGAGGAGCCACAGTGGCCCGAGAGGAGGAAGAGGAGAGGAACAGGCCCTCCTGCACCTTGGCGTGGGTGCGGTCACCTCCTCTGTGGGACCCACGTGCAAGTTGAAACAGCCACTGCTGTTTAGCTGCGAGTTTTAGGGAGGGGAAGTCAGACCCCGTCCACAGCTGAGATCTGAAAGCCGTCTGGGGCGGTCGCGACTGGGAGGCAAGCCGACGAGGGTTCAAATCTGGCCTCCCTTCCTGACTGCAGCGTGGCATTCTGCAAGCTCCTCCCTTTTCCGGGCCTCAGGGAAAGGGGAACAGAGCTGCCGTTTGAAGGTGGCTGTGAGGGGAGAAAGGATCCATGTACATCGTGGGCCCGACAGTCCCGCACATGCTATAGTTTCGTGCTCTTCCTTAAGTCTGGGCCTTCAGGGCAGCCTTGAGCCTCACACAAGACTCAGGAGTAAGCCAGGCTTGGCCCACACGTGCAGAGATCACACCTAGCCTCCACCTCCCCTCTTACAAAGCGCCTTCTCACACGCCCACCAAGCCAAAATCAGTGAGCACCAGCTTGCTTCACTAGAAGACAAAAAAATGGCTGGGCTCGATGACTCAGCCTGTCATCCCAGCACTTTGGGAGGCCAAGGTGAGGGGATTGCCTGAGTCTGCAGGTTTGAGACCACCCCAGGAAACTTGGCGAGACTTCATCTCTACAATAAATCAAAAATCAGCTGTGCATGGTAGCGCGTGCCTGCAGTTCCAGCTACTTGGAAGGCTGAGGCAGAAGGATCGCCGGAGCCCAGCAGGTCGACACTGGGGTGGCTGTGAGCGTGCCACTGGACTCCAGCCTGGGCGACAGAGTGAGACTCCGGCTCAATACAAAAGAAGACAAAAAATAATCATAACATGCTTTGTCAAAGCAATCATCTTATTTAGCATCAGACTTAGGAAGAAAGAAATGATCTTACGTTGTTATGTAATTATTATTATTATCATTATTATTGTTATTATTTGCAAGACAGGATCTTGTTCTGTCACCCAGGCTGGAGTGCAGCGGCGCGGTCATAGTTCACTGTAACCTCAAATTCCTGGACTTAAGTGATCCTCCCACCTCGACCTCCTGAGTAGCTGGAACTACAGGCATGCACCACCACACCTGGCTAATTTTCTTAATTTTTGTAGAAATGAACCCTTGCTGCATGGCCCAGGCTAGTCTCGAACCCCGGGTCTCAAGCCATCCTCCTGCCTCGGCTTCTCAAAGTGCTGGGGTAACAGACTTGTACCATCACGCCAGTGCAATAGTGTTTTGTGTGTCAATGTTGATCCCTTTTTTTTTTTTTTT